ATATCAGACCAAACCAAGCCTTTGCAGTTGTGAGGTATCGAAAATCGAACTGGTGTATTTAAGTGTTTTACACTCACAAAAAAGAAACCTATCATTCTATAGGTATTTGAAGAACTTGTAGCATTCCCCCACAATTTAGATTGTTTTATGTTTTAATCCCCTGATTATTTTTTTCTGTTCATTTCACTTTGATGTTGAAAGAAAAGACATAGACAGGGATAGCGTTAATTCAATCGCAAACCATAGTGAAAAGTACTGCACTAAGTCAAACAGCATGACTGCATTCAGACCTAGATAAATAATGAGTTAAGTTTAGATACATATAACGTATCCTTAAATTCTTTAGTCAAGAAAAGTTAACTGGTCTTGCAACAGGTGGTTGTTAAGAATATCTAAAAACTTTTGGCCAATTTGGTTTGAAATACAAATTTTTCTTAGTTAATCACATAAATATTTATTCCAGAAAATATTAACTCACTTATTTTACCTTAAGTCAAAAGTTTAACATGAAGGTAGCTGTGATTTTTAACGGTTAAAGAATAATAAAAGTCAAGGTGTTTTCCGAGAAGAGGCAATCCCGCATCTTAAATAACATTATTTATGGAAATTATTTTCCGTTTTAAATGAAAACGAAGTGCCAAAAGAATTACGGGAATTTGTCAGTTGTTATTTAATTAAGAGTTAAGTGTCCTAAATATGTCTTGGTAATAAATTAAAAGGTATTAACTCCGAACAAAATCGTGGTATAGTACTCGTTCAAAAAAAAACAACAAGTATGAGACTAGTTCTTTAAACAGAAATTAAACAGAAACCCTTGTTTACTTTTTTGGAGGTGCCTAAACGTGAAACGTGAGATTACTGTCAAGGTCTTAGTAATCGTATTGTTTCGTACAATTAAAACAACCTTTTAAGTTTCCTAGCAATACTCGGTATCCCTAACAACTCTCTGACGTCACTAGTATCCATGCCAACAAGTACTGGAGATTAAAACTAGTGTTACTGTTAAAATGTTCCGAATAAGTTTTTAAGGCATATAAGAAGGTTTCTTGTAGCATTATTGTAGATAATGTACTTGCAGATCGAGCTATCTTGGTTGATTTAACAAATACTGGTTTTATGATGCTTTTATTCTTTTGAAGTATTAGCTTGTAGTATTACTATTATTATACTAGTAGAGATTCGCCAAATATTTGCGGTCAAATTAGTGTCTTTATTGCAACAGTACTTATTTAAATACAAAATAATTCTAATCGTAGACACCGAAATCTATAAATCCAATTGTTATAGGCCTAACATTAGTTAAGCCTAAATTAAGTGCAGCCTGTATTCGGTAAAGAGATGAATTATCCCCGTAACTTGGATACGTTTTTTTGCTTTAGTTTAGTTAGGGTTAAACTTTACCGTAATTAATACTATCAATAAATCAACTTATAATGTTAGTCTATGACCTAACGTTAGACCTTTCTAAACACTTTCATAAGCTTTAAATATGTTGATGCTGTTGTAGTACAGTTGTACAAAATGTTTACTAAATTATATTTACACTCGCCTTTTGTTTACGTCCGATGAAATGAAGTGCGCGTATATGCGGATTTAGATAGTGAGGGTTTTAAATTCATCAGAGATCTTGTTTTTTGTGGATCAACAAGACACATATTGACATGATGTATTACCCTCATGTAATTGATAAGATGAATGCGCATAGGAACATGTAAACACACACATATAGCCACATAGAGCAGGTGCAATGTTTTTGTCTTTGTTTTTTCAATGTACGTTTGCTGATTTAGTGTTTCATGGACCACAGAACATGATCACGTTATCTGTTTTTCTTATTGAAGCTGAAATACGCCATTCGTGTTCTTATTCTAAACAACATATTTCGTGAATAATAAAAGATCCGTAACCTTTAATTATAAATAAGCTCGCTTATTGTAATATTTAACCTCAAATGACTCGATGGTAATGCTGTATACTTATAACGCTAAAAACCGACCTTCGATACCCGTTGTTGGTACATTGTATAACTTTGTCTTTACAACATAAATAAATTGTAGTTTTTTTATTTAATAAATACGCTAACCGCTAAGCTACGTTTGAAAGATAACGAACAGCCGTGCATATATGCTTAGCTATGGGCATGTTTTAAATATTACTTGTATTTAGTCCTGGGATAGTAATTTACTTCACCTAATAATAGCTTCTTAGGTAGTTTTAAGTATATTTAATTAAAACTGATAATGGCTTTTTAGGTAGTTTAAATATATTTACTTCATCTAATAATAGCTTTTTAGGTAGTTTTAATTATATTTAATTAAAACTGATAATAGCTTTTTATGTAGTTTTAATTATATTTTCATCACCTAATAATAGCTTTTTAGGTAGTTTTAAGTATATTTAATTCAACTGATAATAGCTTTTTTAGGTAGTTTTAAATATATTTACTTCATCTAGTAATAGCTTTTTAGGTATTTTTAATTATATTTAATTCAACTGATAATAGCTTTTTTAGGTAGTTTTAAATATATTTACTTCATCTAATAATAGCTTTTTAGGTAGTTTTAATTATATTTAATTAAAACTGATAATAGCTTGTTATGTATTTCTAATTGTATTTACTTTATCTAAAATATTTTGTCACGTATTTTTAATTATATTCAGAATTGTTTAGGAACCTTGAAAAAATTGTTTCAATATACAAATATCTACCACCAGATGTCGCAAGTAGAAGTCGTTGGATAAAATAGTTTATACATCGCTAGCATGGCTCTCACACTTCAATCTTCTTTGTTTGTCGCCTAATCAGAATGATAGATAGTCCAACAGAAATGCATTGCGTCATGGTCTAGTAGTTCGCTTGCCGGATTGTGAATTCGAGAGTCCATGGTACGTGTCCCGTTGCCACAAAATTGCGCTCTGTACTTTGGGACTTTGGGAGTGTTACAAAAGTAAACTATTCAATTAGAGTAGCCCCTGAGTTGGCGGTATGTGATGTTAACTATATGCCTTCCTTCTAGACTATCACCTCAAAATTATGGAGCTCTAGCGAAGATAGCTCTCGCACAGCTTTGAGTGAATATCCGAAACAAACAAATGTATTGGACTTTTCTGGTATTTTTCGTACATCATTAATTCTTCTTCTATTATTTCTATTAACTTTCATGATTAGGTAGTTTAATCTATAGAAATAAAGTTGTAATGCATTACTCCTGTCAATACATTTTAAAATGTCTTGAAAATGTGTATATTTCCTAAAACTTTTTACACGCATTTATTGACCTTACCTTAGGTATTTTATGCCTTTGTACATATATATATATATATATATTATTCAATTACACTCTAACTTATTTCTTATCAACTCTAGCTTTTTCTAACAATTTCGTGCCTTTTTTTCCACTGCGTTAACCCTAATACAAAGTCATAAATAATTCTGTTTAAACTTCCGTCAACGCTTGATTTATAGAAATATATCCAAGTACAAAAGCTCACATATTAACAGAGTCACACCTTATGATTCTTTAATATAATTTTAACAAGACACTTAAGGTACAGATTTATCGGTTTGTTGTTACTAATTAACAGTATATTTGTTCTCCGAATGACGAAAAGAAAAAAGTTATCCAAATTCATTTCCACTACTATGCCGTTATTTCCATTATTTCACCATCATTTATCATTGTGCTATTATTTCCACTACTATGCCATTATTTCCATTATTTCACCATTATTTATTATTGTGCCATTGTTTCCACTACTATGCCGTTATCTCCATTATTTCACCATTATTTATCATTGTGCTATTATTTCCACTACTATGCCATTATTTCCATTATTTCACCATTATTTATTATTGTGCCATTATTTACACTACTATGCCGTTATCTCCATTATTTCACCATTATTCATCATTGTATCATTATTTCCACTACTATGCCGTTATTTCCATTATTTCACCATTATTTATTATTGTGTCATTATTTCCACTACTATGCCGTTATTTCCATTATTTCACCATTATTTATTATTGTGCCATTATTTCCACCACTATGCCGTTATGTCCATTACTATGCCATTATTTTCATTACTGTACCATTATTTCCAATATTTCTATTACTGTGACATTATTTCCATTATTTCACCATTATTTCCATTACTATGCCGTTATTTCCATTATTTTACCATCATTTCCATTACTGTGCCATTATTTCCATTATTTCTGTTATTGTACTATTGTTTCCATCACTGTGCCATTATTTCCATTAATGTGCCGGTATTTCCACTACTGTGACGTTATTTCTATTATTGAGCCATTATTGTGACATTGTTAATGTTATTGTACATTGTTGACGTTAAAAACGAACCTTATATTCGATAGGCATTGTGGGATGCAACCAAACTATAGATGAGAACGGAGATGCTGAAGGATATTATAGTCTACTAGCTTTAATGGATAACGCCAATAAAACATCTCTTGACGAAGCTAAAAGTATGCAACCCGTGGGCCATTTTGTACCTGAAGAAACATTTTCACTTCCGGTAAAGTTTATTTTTTTATAAAACATTTTTTTTAAACATTCCAGTTTTGAAAGTATTAATAAACAGATGATGTAACTTTTCAAATAACTTACAAGACAAATTAGCAAAAACCAATTATAAGGTTAACGACAAGCATTAAAAGTGAATATAAATATATATTTTTTTAATTAACCATACGCGTCAGAAGGAAGTTTTGATTTCATGTTAAATATATATACATCCCCTAAACAACAGATCTTACATTTGAAATAAAATGGATTGTATAATATTTATATTTTAATTTCTAATATGATATACAACAATTTACTGTTTTTCGCTAAGTGGTTACAATTAGTGAAATAATGCTCATAGTTTACTTATTATTCAATTTCTAAAATGAGTGGATTATTTTAGCAATGATTAAACGCTTTATATTGCTGCTCTCAGAGTTGTTTTGTAACGTTTATGAACCTTTGGGACCAGTTTTTTAAGCCTAGAATAGTTGAGGGAAACAAACAATCACTGGCACGTTTTCGTCTCAAAAATCTTTACTAAAAGAGACGTATAAATATTTTTGTTTTTTTGTAAATGAAAATGTAATTTCATGTATTTAGGCTTAGAGGTTAACGTTGACATTGAATGACTTAGATGAAAACAAAGTTGTCCTTATTTCTTGTTCATTAAAAATGTTCCTCCATAAAGAAATTGAACTCCCATGTTTTCACTGCCGACTTTTTATTTTTATTTTTCTGAGAATCAGTAGTCTGTGTAATAAGTTATGGTTTAGGTACTGGTTCTATCATTACTTCATTATTTCTGTTTTGTATGTTTTCCAAGAAACTGATGTTGAAAAAGAATATTCAGTTGTTCAATGGAAAGCCTCCTCGTAGCGAGCCAGAATGTGGCTTCCACGGAGAATACTGCAAACCAGGTAAATAAAGAGTGCGTTCTTTTGGAAAGAGCCAAAATGAAGCTTGTTATTAGCATTGTAAAAACGTAAGATATATTTTAACAGGATGTCTTTGGAAAGAGCCAAAATGAAGCTTGTTATTAGTATTGTAAAAACGTAAGATATATTTTAACATGATGTCTTTGGAAAGAGCCAAAATGAAGCTTGTTATTAGTATTGTAAAAACGTAAGATATATTTTAACATGATGTCTTTGGAAAGAGACAAAATGAAGCTTGTTAATA